AACATATGCTTATTTTACATAATTATGATGATTAATACACGTAACTATCTAGATAGGATTATCTACAATTGTGACTATACATAATGTTGACTGGTGTTTACTCCTGTTTTAGAATGTGTTCGTGCCGATTTTAATCGGTTAATCAAGCTATATGTTACATGACATGTACACTATTAAAACACATATTAACCGATCATACACAAACAAGAAACAAACATAGTCACAATTATGAAAGTTTCCTCTAAAGTTAATCTATTTTATATTTTCAGAATTTCACGAACAATGTGTCCTTCCTGATGGTATCATTGATGATGTTTTGAGTCCAATAAAGGTCAATATCACAGAAGCTCAAGATTTCGACATCAACGATTATCCTCCTGAAAACATCCCATATGTGTACGCAGACGCAAGTGTTCTTAAACAAGCTATCCTGGAAGAACCACCCGCAGCTGATGAGACAGAAACGAAATCTAGTGACGCACTTGTCGACAATGAAGATGACGATAATCAGGAGACGCACCACGACGAGGATGCTTGGGATTCTCTATTGAAGCCGGACGATCCGGACGCGCAGTATATCTCGGACGAGGATCTGATTGAAAAAGGAGATCTAGTTAAAGGTTATAGAGAATTCGGCGACGAATATTTGCATGAAACCGAAGAGAATCGAACAATAGCTGGTGTACCTGATGAAGCTTGTGACGAAGAGGTAGAGGTAGAAAGGTCAGACGACAAAGAAGATGAAATCATCGTTTCAAATGACACAAGAGAAAATATAGATGCTGAATTGGATGATTCTGTAGACGAATTTCTTGAATTAGAAAAACAGCTAGCGACAGAATGTGAGCAAACGGATACCGGAATTCCATCCGATATTAGGCATGTGTCGGAAGAATTAAATGCAGGTTTCGACGAGTACATGCAAGCAATCCAAGACCTCTCCATTCAGAAAACTGAGAAAGGAAAAGAAGTGCTTTTTCACGATTCTGATGATGAAGCGATAAATGAGGGTGAATATGTAGATACACAGCCAGAGTTCCCCCTTGAACACGCGACAGAAACCGTCATTGATCAACTGAAGAATCCCGATGTTGATTCGTCTATGGACGAACCAAAATCTGCTTCAGATGCAGAATACCTAACGGGACAGATTGGTCCTGGTATGGATGAAAAAACTGAGACTGTAGCAAATGATGACGAGACCGAGGACGACAACAAGACTGAGGAACCTAGAAGGCATTCTTCAACTTCAGATGTAGATTTTCAGTCAGGTGAAGAGAATGTCAGTACAGACGGTCCTGGCGACGTTACAAAGGACGACGATACCGAGTCGGAAGGTGATGACAGGGTTTACGAATGTACTTCAGACGTACCAGAAGGCGCTGGGAAACAGCCGGAATGTGATGAAGCGGTCAACATTACGACAAAAGTCATGAAAGATGAAAACGGTGACGATACCATTGATAAACCATTTGGTGATGAACAGTTGGAGAAGCAAGAAGAGCATCTCGATAAAGTCGATGAAAAGAAGAAAGACGATGATGAAAAACAAGGGGCAGAAATGGCGATCGCTGGAATGCCAGAGTTTTCATCTGATGATAAGGATGAAAAATGTAAAATTAGCTAGATTCTGTTTAAGAACATTGTACCTTCTGTTGTTTAAATTATTTTATTTCGTCTGATAGAATTTTGCTCAAGTAGACATAACTCTTTTCTTATTTGTTATTGCGGTTTCTACTTGATCAATTCCATGGATTTATTTTTGTTGGAGTTCTAAGCGTTGATAACTGTGCGTTGTAAATTTTATTTATTTACGTTTGATGATGTCATTAGTATGCCATACATTGATTTATATGTGTAACTTATTCCATGTTTACATAGTTGTATATGTACCATCGTATGAGGTTGACATTATATAACTCTACCACATTTTGATGGCATTTATATAGGTTATGAATGCCAACATAAAGCAGTTTTAAACATGAAGGAATTCTTCATTAATGTAAGTAATATGGCATATCTGACATTAATATTTCTGTTTGAAATAAATATTGAACATAACACATACAACAACAAAATTTGACCAAATAAATTATCTACAGTTTACTGAAAGCGAAAATACTTATTGTTTAGCGTACGTTGAGTACATATATAATAACGCGGCTTTTTCCACTAGGTTTAGGTGATTTTGTTCATACAACCGCTTCTTCTCTTGGTTAGCTTGATATTTGGACAAGAGCAGATCTACGCATAAACAACAGCTGTTATTACAGAAAGCATGTGTTGCAGAGAATTTAGCGACATATCAGACAGTGTTAAAATATATACTTTATATATTTTACTGCAGATATGAACAAAGTTAAATCATCTAATATAAATAGATTTATATTAGTGCTCAAGTGTTCGGGCAGATGACCTGATACCTTTTCACGTCCTATCGGGGAGCAGAACACCGTCCGTCTTAGTGAAAGGCGAGTGTTATATCCACTGCGCCACTAGACCATCCAAACTCTTTCAGATAGTGTTCAATTATTATCAGAACATAAGCCAGTAGCTGTGAAATAATTTTTCTTTGGGTTTTTTTATATATCCATATATCATAGTGATACATATTTGTACGTTTTGACATTTTATGTGTTTCATGCAAATACATTTTACTTCTATACCGCACTATGTAACAAAAAATACTTTTCACATTTATGTATATTAATACAGATGTACACGTCGATATCGGCTTTATATGTTTAATTGTCGCTTTTAAAACAAGTAGATCTACAAATCGTGTGTTTGCCATGAAAATATCTTGATCGTGTATATTGATAAGCTATTTGTACTTTCTGTACATGTAGTTTATTTAAATACCGCACGAATTTAAATTTCTGCAATGTTCGCGCGATCGAATTCTGCACAAAAGCCAATATATGCAAAGATTTGGCATGGCGAAAAAATAGGTCGTTAGATATGAGAACTATTGTCGTACTGTTTGTAATTTTTGTCATTCGTTTTCAACCAATAATAAAAATGACAATCTGATGATCCTCTAGATATGTTTGTCGCAGTCTGTCGTGTATCTGCAAATGTACTTGGTGTTATATTGGTTGTAGTATACATGTTCCTGCCAAAATACATTGCATTATATTCTGTAGTATTCTATTGTGTAAATTAATCTATTACCTATATATTTCTCCATAAAGATGTGTATGTTCATTCCATGTGTTTTTCTTTTGTAAAGTGTTCAAACAAGTGCAATTTTCTCAAACATGGCACTAGTGTACACTACTGTATTTGTCTAACATTGAAAGATTCCTGTAAGAAAATCATGTTTTCTTGGTGATACAGTGTTATTGTTACGCCAATAATCGTGATAATATAATATATAATAGAGAAATAATATAGTGATAATTGATAACGACTTCATGCATAGTTGTTACATGCAATACTAAACTGTAACATATATTTGTAATATTATGACTATATTTTCATATATATTTCAGATTATTTTCCATATTAATTTATGTTATACCTTGTATACTATAAATTATTCATTCAAGATTTAAACATGTATTCGTACGATTTCCCTTGAAATGTTATATTTCTAGTGTTTTTCTGTGTGCTATATTATATTTGCACAGTGAGAACAAACAGCTCAGATGTATCGAACCAACTGTATTTATTGTTCTATATTACTTAGCTTTTATTCGCAAGTAATATGTATTTTATGTAATATTCACATCCATATGTATTAACTTTGACTATTTTGATGTGCTTTCAGCTTTCGCATGCATAACTTAACATCGAAGTAAAACTTGAATATGTATCAAGTTCAAGCATATTTAAATATACATGAAAACATGCATGACATGAGATTTTTTTAAAATGTTCAAATATAGAATCATCTTTAAAGACACTTTCGAATAAATTTATTTATTAAATTTGATATATAACGTGTCAGTACCAGGAACGGGTGTAAGTAAACTCTATGCAGTGTTTTAATGTAACTAAATTTTGTTTAACAGGGTGTCACAAAACGGCTAGAGTGTATCACGATATATTGCAAAATATCGGAAATGTATCGTGATGCGTATCCCGATAAATTGTCACAGGAAAAAGGTGCCCAAGAAGTCCTTGTCAGAATGTAACCAAACTTAATCATATGGATCACACAGACTTAAGGTTTTCGTTCAACCAATTATCCAATATGATAATTCAACTAATTTCCACCACTAGTAAAAGCCTGTGTGTTGGTTATTGGCATATCTCTAAGAATGTGCAGTACTTTGCAAAATTAAACCCCTAGCTGATACAAATAAATAAGGTTTTGAAAAATTCGTATTGCGGTACAATACAATACAACGTTTATTGGGCTATACTGTTTTTTCGATAAATTGTTTAGCAAGTTTGAGAAATCACACGACCATATTTCACCAAACTTTTAAAAAAAGAAATCGTGTTCACCTTTAGACAATAGTTGTACGTATCCTAGATACACTTCTCTATATTAATTTTTGTTTTACATACGAAATGAATCCTTTCGAAATTTAAGGCAAAATTAGTATTTTTCATTCGTAAAGGCAAACTTTTAAATTGTTCATACATAAAGACAAACTTTCAATAATATACGCAAACCTGAGGAAAAGTAAGTTTTAATTAAATGTTTAATTTTCAATATTTTGATTTATCTTGAAACATCTTCCAACACATGTATAGAATATAGATTGTATGTGAGTTATGTCTTTTCAGTTAAGCATACCTCTGTCGGAATGTTTCAAGGTGACCTTAATACCATAATAAAAGGTCGTTCATTGTTACCCAGAGCGTGCCAAGCTCTATATATAAGCCTGGGGTAGATGTAGTACATTTGTAACAGTATTTGGTTGTAGCCTAGCTACATCTATCTACTTCAGCTTTCACAGGTGTACAACAGTCTACTATGGTGTAGAAGTATTCAAATACATACATGTGTTGATTAAGGCCAAATACATTGATTTTTATCAATAATATTTAATAATGTTTAAATGTTCACATAAATAGATACTTTTATCAACAATAAAATAAATTTCATGTTGTTTGAAAAGCATGACCAGTTTAAAAGTCCATCTTTTATTTGTTGATGTATTGAATGTGTCTACAGACTCTCGGGGTACATGTAATTACCTACAGACCGGGAACACAAAAAGAATGTTTTTAAGTTTTTTCGTAAATAGGATTTTCTTATCATGCTTTGAACGACTGGGCGTAGTATGTTTTTATGTTAATGTATTTTAATATTTAAAGACGTTATAGATTTCAAAGAAACCATATACATAACAACAAGAAATACATTACTTTGATTGTAAAAATTCCGAAAAATATCGAGGAACCCATCTTTAAAATTTAACTTAACCATAAGAAATCGAAAGGAATATCTTTATTCCGAACACGGAAACGTTCGCTTGCCAGAAAGCATCACAGCCTGATTTTGGTATTGTTCTATAAATCAAGAAATAATGTGTCAACGGTAGTAATAGTATATTCCTTACGATCACTGTATAGAAAATATTATTTATTGAAAATATATACATAAATATTAGTAATGTTAAATATATTCAATTATATATATATACAAACCATTGTTAACGATCTAACCTAAATATGCTAGAAAATGTGCATGCTATGTGCGTGCAAACTGAAAGTGATTATAAATATTAGATGTGTCCTTTTATAGTACATAATGTATTTGAACTTCTGCTGGCAGAGATTATTTAATTAATACTGATCGTGCAGCGTGTGGTGTGTTAGTAATGCTGGATCCTGTTGAATGTAGATTGAACGATACACAAAATTCTAAGTATGTACCCCACGATAACCTCAATGCTAAATTACTCTGGTAAATGCCATATACCTTCTATTCAAAAGTGTTCCCCGGTGAGAAACGTGTAAAGAACATTTTATAAATGGCAATTTAAGTTTGTAAAATAAATTGATGACTTAT